CTGTGATAAATCCATTTATTGAAACGCCTTTTTAAGAGGGTTGGTACACATCATAGCCTAAACTGCAATGGTCTTAATATTTGACACGTTTCAGTGTTTTTGTTCGGTGCCTTTGTTTCTGGGCCAAGAATTGTCATGTCGGTGCATCCCTTGGATAGACCCATTTTTGCAGCACTTCATGTAATAATTTCTAACTGCTTTTTCCTAAGTCTTTACACCTTCTTTCAGCTTACTATTTTAGTTTGCTCAGACACAAGCAATATCAGGGCCAATCCAATGTGATTGGCCCTGATAATGAGGAAAACTTTTAATTCTGTATTGGTTAAAATTGGCCAGATCCGTTGGGGCAGATGTATTCAGTCTTCTTCAAGAATAAATTTAAGTTAGGTTAAAAAACTATTGAGCAGCAGAAGGGCATCTGTCTTTGATTAAATAAATAAAGTCAGTTTGAACTGGGGTTGTAAAAACTGTTCCTTTAATTGATGGATCCATTTCTATACCTGCAATCCAATTGCATAGATCTGTGCTCGTGGTTAATAAACATGACATGAAGTAGTCTAAAATTGTTTTAATAGGTAATTAATCTATTGTATCAATATTAGGAAATGAAACATTGAAGTTTAGATGCGTTTTATGTGAACAGTTTTTATGATAAAGACATTAAAAGTGAAGTCACTGGTGGAGATAACTAACAATTAGTAACCATCCACTGTTCCTGCTGCTGCAGCATCAAGGTATTGTCACCCTTTCTGCCGAGCTGACCGGTAAACGCAGTTAGCTCTGCAGGAGCCTCGCCAGCATGCTCAAATACTGCAAAAACTTCAGCTGGGGAGAAAGAAAACAACACGACCAGTTTATATGCAAAGAACTGCTGCCAGATCATGTGGATCAGCTGATGTTTTTGAAGAAAATAAAACATGTATTCCTCTCTTTGGTTACTAGTGCTCTGCTGTTTCTTTATTACAATGACAGTAACAGCAGCTTCAACCACTACTCAATTAAACTGAAGCCATGTCAGCTGCATATATCTTAACACTAATGTTATATTTGTAACGTTTTTATAGTGGAAAAACAGCAGTGGAAGCAGCAGATAAATCTACTTTTGATTGAACCAGAAGAAAATTTTCACTTTACTTTTAGGTTAAAGTTGTAATATTTTCAAATGAAATAAAGCAGTATTAAAAGTATGTAAACCTACTGATACAATATCTATTGCACTTAGTGCACATTAAGTTAACAAAGGTTAACTTCCTGTTGATTAATATCCTCAGATAACTGTTGTTAATATCTTCTTCTGTGGTTCTTTTCAGCTTGCATGCAACCAAAACATGCTTAACCCTTTATAGGGAAATCATTTTTGATCACTTGCATACCCCTTACAAATGGAGTCCCCCACCCCATCCCTCAGTGAGGTCTAGAAACACAAGATCTATATCCAGCCATATAGCAAAGATCCTGCTACATGGCTGTACATCTTATTTTGGCATTTGACTAATAAGATGAGCAATTGAATGATATATTACTGTAAATTAAGCTAAAAAAAAAAGGTTAACAAGTAAAGAAAAAAAAAGTCAAAAAGTAAAGTTAAAAAGTTAATAAGCCTTGCTAAAAAATTATATTTAGGTTTATAAACTAAA